TTTGCGCACACACACACTCACACACACTCACACACTCACACACACACACAGGAGGTGTGGTTTTTATTTGTCACCCTATAGCAGATGTCAGCCAAGCAGCCTGTTGTACACTTCAGCACAGCTGATCTCCTCAGACATCTTTGTTTTTAGTTGTAAAAGTTGCTTTTTCTCTGTAGGATGGACAGTAATTTTGATAACCTGGATGCTGCTGGGTTCCTGGAAATCTGGCAACATTTTGATGCAGACGGTGAGGACATTTCATGACTTCTTCATTTCCTTTATTCTTATAATAACAGCTTCACTTTTAGATGTAATCATTTCAGTTTAATAGAAATCCACAGCAGCATAAAGCATCTGTTGTGTCAAGTACAAACAAAAAGACTAACATATTGGCAATTTGTGTGAAACCTAAACACTAGCAGGTCTGGAAGAGGCTCCATGTACAAATCATCAATCAAGTTATAACAACCAATACTTTTATCTTGTTTTTAAAAAGTTGCTTCATTATGTTTACGAGTTTGTGACTCAAGTTTTTATTTTTGATAGATAACGGCTACATTGAAGGCAAAGAGCTCGATGACTTTTTCCGCCACATGATGAGAAAACTGGGTCCACAGGTGAGAACTGCATATTTAGATGACTCAATCCAGGACTGATGATAACAGCACTTCAGTATGATTAACTTCAGCAGATTGTGACATCAGTTACATCTGAAGCACAGAAACAAATGCATCAGTGTAGCTTAAGTTTCACATCTGTGTTCAACGTGAAGGAGAATTCCTTTAAAAAAAACTGCATTTTATTCTAAGTGATGTTATGATGTATGGTTTTGAAGAACAGGTAGAAATTACTTTTGAAAATAAAATCAGATTTATTTTTTTATTGGTYACTCAAAGCATTTAAACCTGAATTAGTTTTATGAGCTTTCTGGATGGGTGTGGTCACTGCAACAATCTTAGCACAATTAAAAACTCGACATGGTTAAAAACCAACTGAAAAGATGGCACTAATGGGCAAATATAGTCGTGCCGAGTCATGAGTCCTTTTGCCTCACTTGTTTTWATGGAAACCCCACTTAGTGTCTGTCTAATGCATGTTCTTTAGAGTAGTCAGCTCGCTTGGATACTAATTGGGTTGTGCTAAAACAAACAGACCACCAGCCACGTGTCACTTTGTCTTTCGGATGTTTGCTTTCCACCATCAATGCCCTTGGGGGGGTGATGTTCAATACATTTCTCAAAAGCTACAAAAACACTGACAGTGCTCCTTTTTCTCTTTAACCTTTAAAATCCTCATCATGCAGTCATTTTGCAGTTGTTTGCCAACAACATTTGGACAACTACAGTATTTTCTCATCTGCCGAACCATAAGTTGCCCTTTACTGCACTTTTTGTAGATATAAAGTTGTAAAATATTAATATTATTAATATTATTAATTAATACAATTAGCTCATAGAGACAATACTTGAACAACTAAGGGACCCAACATACAAGCTTGTATGATTTGATCTGTAATTTCCCTTTGGGTTCAATAAAGTATTTTGAATTAAATGAATTTCTGACAAGAATAAAATTAAAAACAATGTCTATGCAAATGACAGAAAGCCTAACAACACAACTGCTTTAAACTTTCAGTTTTTATACAGCCAGATTTTATTTAAAACTACTACTTTCCTCCTCCACAGAAAAGCCACCTTAATGTGGTGGAGGGGTTTGAGTACCCTGGTGCCTATGTTACTGTATCTGGGGCATCAGCCCCTGGTAGGGTCTCCCAAGACAAACACACTTTGGGGGAGGGGTCAGAATAAAAGCGATTCAAAAGGCCTTGATGGAATGGAACAGCAACCACATCAGGAAACCTCACCCATAAAAGGGAAAAAGGGGGCAGCTGTGTGAAGCTGACACCACACCCACACAAAAAATCCAAACAAGTAAGCGGATTTGTTAGTGCTTCGTTTGTGCAGGTTTGTGCAGTTAAAATGAGTGTTTGTGCTGTTATAGTTTTTGAGATATTAAACATTATGTCTTTAGCTCATTATGACGTCACCCTCCCCCCAGCAACCTCCGAAATTAACCAAAACAGTCTACTTTTTTTGTGCTTCGTTTGTGCAGCTTAGTGCAGTAGAAATGAGCGTTTGTGCTGTTACAGTTTTTGAGATATTACAAGTTTTTACTTTAACGCGATGACATCATCGTCCCCCCAGCAAGCTCCGAAATGGTGACGTCATCGGCCGAAATTATAACTGCTAATATCTCGAAAAGAAAAGCTGCACAAACGACAGTTTTTACTGCACAAACCTGCACAAACGGAGCACTAACGACCTAGCCCACTTTGGTTTGTTTTTGGAGCGATATGGGGTGATGGTGAACTGTAGATGACCAAAAAATATAATATTTAATATCTCGGAAACCAAAACTGCACAAACGACACTTTTAACGGCACAAACCTGCACAAACGGTGCACTAACGATTCTGACTATTTGATGGATTTTTTGACGTGGGTGGGGTGTCAGCTTCACACAGCTAAAAGGGGCACCTCCATGGAGCCAGGCCTTTAAGGGGGCGAGCACACGGCGGTCGAGCCATGACTCCTGCAGCTTGGAAAAGCCAAGCCCGAAAGGACAACTGGAGAACACCTCCACATGGACCCACCACCTGCAGGGTGGACCGTCAAGGTTGGGTGCAATGTATGCCGGGCAGCAGGCAAGGGAGGGTTGATTCCTGGYGGAATAGACTAGCTCTAGGGACGTGGAACCTTATCCTYATCTGCGGGTAAGGARCCAGAGCTTGTGGGTGAGGTTARGCATTACTAGTTAGATATAMTGTAGTTGAGCTCACTCAAAGCTTGGACTTCAATGCCCGTGTGGGCAAWAACGGAKTTATCTGGAAGGGTATGATTTGGAGGAACGGCCTTCCTGTGAATCATGTTCTGCTATTRGACTTCTGTGCTAAGTAGGGGTTGTCCATAGCAAACACCATGTTTGAGCATAGAGTGGTCCATAAGTGCACTTRGTACCAGGCCACCTTAGGTCAAAGCTCAATGCTCAATTTTGTAATTGTGTTGAATGGGCAATGTTCAGGGCCTTCATTGCAGATGTAGCTTCTAGGAACTGTGATCTGAAGGTCTGAAGGTCATCGGTGCCTGTTGTGGAAGCAACCATAGGACCTGCTGGTAGACATAAGCAATGATGGAGGCCATCATGTTGAAAAAGGAGGCCTACCAGATTTGGCTTTCCCGGAGGACTTTTGAAGCAGCTTATGGGTATAGGGTGGCAAAGAGTGTCACGACTTTGTTGGTAGCAAATGCAAAAACTCTTGCATGGGAGGAATTAGGGAAGACCACAGAGAAGAGCTTTGGGTTGGCTTCGAGGATGTTTTGGTAAACCGTTCGGCGACTTAGAAAAGTAAAGTGTTCCCTGTCCCAAGTTGTGGAAGGAACWACYCRAGGATCTCCTCAATCCACCGTCCRTGTTCACTTTTGAGGARGCAGAGTCTGAAGACTTGGGGGAAGAYRAGTCCATTACCATGACAGAGGTAGTCAAAAAGCTCCTCAGTGGCAGGGAGCAAGGGGTAGAYGAGATTCGCCCTGAGATGCTGAAKGCTCTGGATGTTGTGGGGCTKTCATGGTTGACACGTCTCTTCAACTTCACATGGAGGACTGGGACGACTCCTGTTGAGTGGCAGACCGGGGTGGTGTGAGGATCTTGTGTTTTGTGTCTTGTCCTGTACCTCCAAGTGTCTTGCACTTTCATCTCAGTCCTCAGTCTTCCAGCTCTCTCTAGATTGTTCTTTCACACCTGTCTGCACTTTGTAATCACTCAGCTGTTTCCACTTCCACTAATCCCACTTAACCGGTTCATTTCTCTCACTTCAAGTCTCAAGTTTATTTAAGTTTCAAGTTTATTTATTTATATACCGCCAAGTTACAACATACGTTGTCTCAGGGCACTGTACATAAAAAGAACAATCTAAAGAAGAAACCAGCAGGTTGCGTTGAATCACTTCATCACAGTCTCCCATCCTGAGCAAACAGTGGAGAGGAAAAACTCCCTGCTGATCAGGAAGAAACCTCCAGCAGAACCAGKCTCAGGACAGGCGGYCATCTGCCTCGACCGGCTGGTTGAGGGACAGGAAAGAGACACAGGTAATCACAGAAGAACTGGTCCAGGACTGGTCCAGGTCCACCTACTTTTGGAAGAGACAAAGAAAAAACATGATAGAAATAATTACAATAAACATGTTGAGAAGAGAGACTAACGACAACAGCAGAGTGAAGAAATGTGCTCAGTTTGTGCTCCAGCAGTCTAAGTCTATAGCAGCAGAAATGAAGAACTCTGGAAACCCAAGTCTACCTATGTGATTTATCAAAAAGGAAAGGCTTCAGTCTAATCTTAAAAGTACTTTCCTACTCTTCCTTTGGTGTTCATGACCTTCTCGTGTCCTTAGAGCTTTTTGTTACTTTGTTTTTGCCACCACGTTTGGCCTTTTCTTTGATAAAGTTTTATTTATTTTGAGCCTTGCCTGCCCACACGCTTTTGGGTCCACCTTACCACCAGAGCCTGACAGGTGGTCAGGCTCCGGTGCTTTCAGTAGAAGGCCTTGTTTTTCTGATGTGAACACAGGAGCAGAACTTAAAACTTTAAACAGATTTCATCTGAACCAAAAAAAGAATATCTCGGAAACATTATCCTTCAGACAGACATGAAAAAAGAGAGGAGTTGTTCAGCAATGATGCACAACAAAATAAACACCTCAGACGAACTGTCAAACACAGAGGTGGATTGGCTGATGAATTGGGTTCATCATCGAGTCAATCATAAATTTTTCTGTATAGTGGGATWCTATAGAAATAAAATCGTGTAACATATCTAATATCTGAAGCCTGAATACATAGTTTTTCATAGATCAGGACAATGATGCAGACATTTCAGTAATTGTAGTACAATGACTAGAGCAACAATATAAAAACAACTTAAGTGTTTTCAAGGTCTAATCAAAGTTCACCCCTGAGATCATCTTAAACATAGTAGAGCTTTAAAAAGTTACCAACAAACCTTATAAAAATCCTTTGAGACCATGACACCAATGAAGGTTGCTGTTAATGGTGGGACTACTGAAATATGGAATGCACTTTGTTTTTGTACACTCCATGTCTGTATTTCTGGCTTACTGACTTGTACAAAGACAAAGAACACCATGACCGTAGAAATGTCTCTTGTACTGTGAGCATGATGAGGAAGAGGCCAAATACAAATTTGGGTCTGGTACTTAATGATCTGCAGCTTGTGTGCTCTGCATGGAACCAATTGGTGAATCAGACTTTAGCATCAGGAAATCAGCTGGTTTCTATAGTTACAGCTCGGTGTCTGGAGGTTGGGACAGAGAAAGAGAAAACTTGGCTGCTAATTGGAAAAAAAAATCAGCAATAAAAACACACTTAGCTTTAGTCGTTAAGCTTTTAAATACAATAGATCCTGCAGCTGGAAGGCGAAGGCGGGCGACCATGTTTCTGCCTGTGTTTGTGTTTGTGTGGCTCGACAAATTTGGACAAAAATTTGAAGAAAGTAATCACTGGGTCTGCAGCTGATTAACTTGCTCAAGACAGCAGCTCTTAGAAAACAAAGTTCAGCTGTGCAGATGTTGTGCTAAAGTCTGATGTGGGCGATGTGAGCCTCATTCACAAAACACACTTTGAGCACGACATCTTGTGTTATTAATTGCACATTCTGTTATGTACAAGGTTTGAAAAAAATGAATAAAACTGTTATTTGAAGGTGACAAACTTCCAAATTGGCCTCAGTCAGTTGTTCCAAACTATGGAAATGCACCTAAGAGGAATCAGCACATCTACAGTATGTGAATGGCTAAGAAGTCCTACTCTTGATTTGCAAACTTTTCCAGTCGTTGAAAGGGAAAGCAAAAAGGTCTTCAGGGGGATCAGTGTTTTTTACACCTACTCCTCCTTTTGAGTTCTTTTAATCTGATAAATTCCTCCTTTTGTTTTGAGACAGATATTTGAAGCCCCCTCCATTTTATCTGTTTTAGCTGTTTGTTCCCAGTTTGGTGTTTCTAGCAGTTTGATGKCTTTTTTAGATGTTGGGCGGCCATGATTTCTCTTCCCCTGTGCAGGTTCTCCATAGAGAATGTACTTTGGGATATGTTCTCCATCCAGGTCACATGACCTAGCCAACGCAGCCGCCGCTCTTTGAAAAGGTTGTAAATTACCTGCATGCTAGTTCTGGCAAGAACAACCTTATTTGATGTTTCATCTTTCCAAGTTCTTCAAGCGTTCTGCAGAGATGACGCATTCATTTTTGGAATATTTGAGGTCTCATATCTACTATGATAAACAGCAGGTTTTACAATAATCAGCAAGTGATTTCCCAGGTTTTTATTTCTTCATTGCAGATTTATTCTGCAGCTGCTAATGTCAGAGTAATTTTAGATCTTTTAGATCTGCTCTGACAGGTCATCCCTGATTTAAGCCGAGACCATTTCACACTTTTTCCTACTCTGGACTTGAATAACTGCTGGCCGAGTCATACCCATTGAGCAAACAGGAAGTGGCCTGGTGTGATGACCCCGGTGGGCCCTCTTGTAATTGGATAGAGAGCATCATTGACCTGTCTGTGTTCCACTGAGGGTTGATTGTTGACATGTGGAAGTCCAACAGGAACTACAGTTCTACTTCAGTCAGCTCTCCTCCACAGCTTCCTTATAGGTTGTTCRTTAGTCTCATTTTTACATTGTTCACACATTATCATGTAAATATTCTGTACACCACAGACTGATTTCAAAATTGTTATTATTAATATGTAAAAAAATCTCCCAATTCTTATGGCTGTTAGAGCTAAATTAGGCTTGTTTATTTAGGATGAATTGATTGGTTATTGTGTTCCTTGGTTAGGACCAGGTGGTGTTTCTGCTTTCTAATCATGTGATGGATTCATTGGTTGTGTGTGGAGGTTTCAGGGCAGCTTTGATCTTTTTTTATGCTTTCTACTGTCAGTCAAAAGACGAAATGCCAGTGATACTGTTTTTGCCGATGCCTTTGTGTCTCTGTATACAGTATGTGTGTACCTATACAGTATGTGTGTACCTATACAATTTTTTTCTTTTTGATTTTTACCTGGATTACTGAGATGCATCAGGACATATGTGTGTACCTGTTAGCAAAATATCTCATGAACCACTTGACAGATTTTAATGAAATTTGCATAAAGTAATCAGCTGGTTAACTGTTAAAGATGGCCACCATGGTTGCTTAGAGCATTAAAAAAATAATGTAAAATCTTTGTTTTTAGCTTTGTCAAAAAGTGTTGGAGTGTCTATTTGTCTGTTAGCAGAATATCTCATTAATCACTGGATAGAGTTTAATAAAATTTTCTGAAAGTATCAYTGTTTAAATGCCTAACGTTGAAGCCAGTCCATTTTAAGATGTCCACATCAGTCATCTGACCTTACAAAACAAAAGCAGTAGCTCTAATTTAGTCAGTTTTACAGATGTTTCATATTCAGAGCCTCTAGTCGTGTCATATTTTTTGCCTAAAACTTTGTTAGGATCAAACTTGTTTGTTAGGAAAACATCTTACCAACAGAAAAATGACTATAACTCTATAACTAGTTTTACAGCTACTGAGGGAAGAAGACTATCTTCACTTTGTCCCACTGGTTGTTTGATGCTGAGGGAATAATTTCTGACCTTTTTCTGACTGATTATTTTAAACAACAAGAAGCTTGTGATGCTTTGTGAGCTCTCTGTCAGGTGACTGTAAGATGTTCCTGTTAAATTATTAGACAAACCTGCCCTGGCAGCTGAGCAGGCTGATCAGAGTCACTCTCACTGATGGCATGTTCCCAAAGAGAACAATGACATTAAATCATTACTTTAAAGGGTGTGAACACTGAGGCAAGTAGTTAATTGCCTTTTTTATTTTTCTCTGATTGTTTCCCACAACATATCCTTTTCATTTAAGTTGTACAAAATATATWTCACGATAAAAGTGGAAAAAGTTCTGAAATGACTCATTATGGTCCTTTTTGTTTAACGTCACAACCTGGCGTTTCAGCAGGACTTCTTATCTTCATTGTAACGACAGGATTTGTGCAAGCTAAAATTAAGATCTGAAATGATTTTTCTAAGAACTGAGCTGCATGGGTTGGCAAAGAGCTGAAGAACCTGATGATTACTGTGGTTAGAGAATGCAGACCTTGAAAAATAATAATACCAAAAAGGACTATCTTAAATTAAAGGTGTATCCATGGAGACGATGCAAAAATAAATGTGACTCAGCCAATAACATGTTTTCTTCTACATAAAATGTAAGGTTTTCAGTTACTATGTGATGTAAGGTGAGCCATGAAAACTTGAACACTCAGATCACAATTTATCCATCAATTCTTTTATTGTTGTATATATTTAACTGAATATGTGGATTGGAAATGACTGCAGCCAGACACTCACTGATGATATATAAGGTTTTTTTTGTTCTTGTTTTGTTTTTTGTTTTTTTCAGGAGAAAGCCACAGAGGAGCGGGTGCAGAGACTGAAGCAGAGGTTCATGTCTGTCTATGATGTTACAGCTGACGGGAAACTACAGATTCAAGAGGTAAGAACACGTCTGACCTTTAACATCATCATCATCATCATCATCATCATCATCATCATCATCATCATCATCTGTCAAACTGATCATTTACTCAATAATAATAAAAATTTCAGTGAAAAAAAAGCTTCTGCAGCTCTGAGAGAGCTACTCCCAAATAAAAAAGGGTTAAAGATAACTATTCGAAAAAAGGTCAACATTAGGTGTGTGTGTGTGTGTGTGTGTGTGTGTGTGTGTGTGTGTGTG